TGGAAACTAAGTCACTCAGAGGTCTTCATTCAAATATCAGGGTGAATGCCAATAAATGTAGAAAGTGTTCTAAGACCAAGTCACTTATAGTATTTTTTCTCTGAAAAAAAAAAAAAAAAACCCTCCTATAGGACAAGATGGAGGTGGAGAAGGTGGGAAGCAGATGTTTGTTTCTGCAGTTGTGCAACTCATAGACTGTGAAAAATCACTTGTTACAGTAATGTAGGCCCACAGGAAGGAAGATGAAGTACCACACAGATAATCATGTCAGTTATAATGCTAGATAATATCTAGAAAGGCTGATACAGAGTGATCTTTTGAAAGAACATTTGTTTATTAAGAATGGGGCACAATATATATCTGAAAGAAATGCTTCACAAAACTTTGTAGGAAGGTGTAGTTGACTTAAGACCATCTTCTTTGTCCTGAAGAAGAGGAGTGGGCTTTCACACATTTAGTTTTCAAAGTGCTTCTCATAAGTATAAAGAGGAATGCAGCCCATCTTAATTAAAGAGTAAAATTTAAAATGAGTCATATATCCTCTCCCCATTTATTTTTCAGCATACATCAAGCTTATTTCACTGTAAAAATGTCATTTCCAAGCCTGTGGGGAGCTTATCTCACAGTTAGGCTGGGCCTCAGTGGTAAATAGGAGGCACAAGGAGGACAGTGTAAAGACAGCTTTAACATTTTCAGCGAAAAGAGCCAATTTGTATGTGGTACTGATTTGCTTTTAATAACAAGCTTTCTCAACCAGAACTGGTGAATTGGCATAAGAACAAGGGTACAAAAGGAACATCAAGGGGCCTTCCAACATTCTAACCAAAATGATTAATTCTCTGTTTTGGGTGGTCATCATTTTATCCCTTGGAACCAGGAGATAAAAAGATGCAAAGTTTTTAATATATGCTGCCTGAATATATAAAGAAACCGGTGCAGCCAGTGGTGTTGTCTTAATACTTTATAATCACATTCCATATATTAAGCAAATGCAAATTCTGCATGCTGCCCTTGAAAGGCAATTTCACTGCATACTAAATTGAAAGCAATCACTGGTACAAGCTCAACTAAAACATCTGTCAGGTAAACACCAAAGCATTTTCCACACAGTACTGCATTTTAAAATAGCTAACTTTATTGTCAGTGAAAAGATAGGCACAGAGTGGATTCACACCTGCTTAATTTTACTGGAACTAGCTCCGTTGATTATAGAATGGGGTCTTAATCATTATGAGGCCAAACACATTTCAAACCAAAGGTGATACTTCTCTAGCCATCTGCCAACCTCAGCTATTCATTTTACAAACACATGCCATTAATCACAAGGGAGGCCACAGAAGGAGGTTTGAAGGCTTCATATAACCCATCGTTGCTACCAGAAACAAACAAACAAACTTCCGACACTGGTCCGACTGATGATGGATGGCACTTGGAAGATATATTCCAAGGATCATGCCAGGCTGAAATTGGTGGTAATTAGCCCATAGCTAATGCTTTCCTTTGAAAACATGTTCAGTAAGAATGCACACATTTTAAGTAACAAATTTCATATGTGAATGAGCAATTGAGATAACAGGAGATTGTATGGCTAACAGGCATGAGAATATAATTTATAAGAGTTAGTGCATATGTATACACTTTAAGTTGCTACATTATTAGTTTTTAGGCTCTTCATAACAAGTAGTTTGCATGGTAATTTTGTTCATTTTCCAACTGTTGTGCACAGCCAACTGTGTAACAAGAAAAAGAGAATGTGATGGGTCTCTTAGTATGTTTCCTATGGCAGGTGATGGCAAATATTTCAGGTTCCTACTAGCCTCTCAACCTGAAGCTCAAAAGCAGCACTGAAAACAAATCCTTCATTAAAACAATAATTATGATACATGATTTTATAAGAAAGCTTAAACTATTTTTATTTAATAAAAATGTTAATAAGATTTTCATATCAAGTAAAGTTTGTTCTAATGAAATTGTTCTGTACAAGGGACATTGAAGTATAACTGACTTAGGAGGTCCCCAGAGATCTCCATGCAGTGCAAGTTAAGACAACAAGGTCACCCTCCTGTTCTGAGGTGCCAGTAAAATGCATAGATAGGTGGGAGTCCAGAAACGTCCCTCAAGTGTTACATTGACACAATTGTGAAAAGGTGGCTACCTTGAGATTTCTCCCATAAACCTGAATTTTTAAATGTCATCTATTAGGGATTTTCTGAAAAGGCTGAATCAATCTTCTTTGTAAACATAATACACTGACATGGACTTCTTTCATCTCTCAAATGTACAATGTATTTGAGTAAATTACCTGGGATTAAAAACTGAGCCAAGAGGGAACCCTCTGGTGTGAGAGGGGAGAGATGTTGTGGAAAGTTCAAAGTAATACTTAGCTAAAAACTTCCTCCTTTCCCAAAATACATGAGCCTAAAGAGATGACTGCCACACAGTTTGGAATTATGACATTTGTCACCTTACAGAGTGTAAATAAAACTATGGCTCCCAGAGCTAGCAAAAATGCTGGCAATATATTATAAACATGAAAGGAGTAAATGAAAAGTTTATGTTTTTCTATTTATTTAGACAGAAAGTGGCAGTACTGAAGTTTGCTACTTGTTGCTTTTACTATTTGAGTTTTTTCATTGACTAAAGGATAATATTAATGAGCATTAATACAACTGCACTTTTAAGTTCTATTTGTGATTCATTAAATAACTGAGGACTAATATGTATGATAATCACTTCATTATTAAAAATGTCAAGACTGCTTGAAAAACCACATCACTTTCCCTCTTATCTCCTCCTTCCCCCCACACAAAATAATTCCTTTGAAAAGATGGTCAGCAAACTGCGACTCATGAGCCACATGTGGCTCTTTGGCCCCTTGAGTGTGGCTCTTCCACAAAATACCACTGCCTGGGTGAGTCTATTTTGAAGAAGTGGCATTAGAAGAAGTTTAAGTTTAAAAAATTTGGCTCTCAAAAGAAATTTAAATCATTGTACTGTTGATATTTGGCTCTGTTGACTAATGAGTTTGCCGACCACTGCTTTGGAAGATCATTGGGAATGACACAAGAATACTGTTAAGTATGTCATTCCTATACTTACAGAGGAACTCTATAAGATTATCCAAGACAGCCAATCTCGTAGCAAGAGAAGAAGTGAAGTTGATATTTTAGGGTAGATGTCCCATGTGACTCCATACTGAAATCAGAATCAGGAAAGGAAAAACCTTGCAAAAGGCACTGCAGAAGAGGCAAGATAGGAACTCAGAACCCTGTACAAACTACTGAAGCCAGGGCCAGTTTACAAAATACATGTGCCCTGGACTGTGAAGATAACTTTCTTAAAATGGGGATTTTTATATATAAGGGTTTCCCAAAATAAGTATGGTACTTGGCAGAGTGGGAAGTTGTGTTGTATGATCTTGAAGAAGTCACTTAAAGTCTTCAGGTCTCAGAATCCTCATCACAGGGTTGGGTTATTGTATTGTTAAAATTCCACCCAGCCACTATGCGTCACAATGTAATATATCAGGCCTACTCTTCTATTAATCTGCTTTCTAACTAGCATATCCCCAAACCTCTACCCCCCAACCTTTATATAACACCCCAACCCCCTCACCTCCCCCCAAACCCTTGAAAACTGATATTAATGACATTGATTGTAGATTTATCATCTTAATAAAGGGTAGATAAATGACACAGAGTAGTGACCTATGGCAATGAGCAGCCCTTCTGTGTTCCTGGAGGCAGCCTTTAGGCAAAGCTTGGAGTCATGCCCTCCTTGGTCCCTGCCCACATGTACATTTCCTGCTGCTCTCCAAAAGTATTCCAAGATAGAGTCAGTGGTCATGAAAAGAGGTAGCTGAGGACTCTGCTGCAACCCACCTCTCCCCTGACTACAGCACAGTACTTTGGGTTTCTGATGCTTTTCCCTTGGAGGTGATAGTCAAATATGTCTAAGAATTTGGGAAATAAAATGAATTATTTCAAAGTAGTCACCAGAAAGTCAAAGCATTCAACCTGTTACCAAAAGTGCTTCCTCATTTTGCAAATAATTGACAATTTGAGACTGGTGACACAGCCAGTGAATTTGTGCTGAAGAAGAAGTATACACTAAGCAGAATGGTCTTCAGGAAAGGCAAGAAAGCTGTTCATGGCTAGACAGAGACCACAAAGGTCTACATTCAGCAAGCCCCTCATGCAACTCTCCATCAAGGCCTCCGGTGGTTTAACTCTCTAAGAGAGAGTAAGTTTAAGCTAACTCTCCTAGTGGCTGAAAGCAATATATTAATTACCCAAATGCATAAATTATTCCAGAGTATATATATGTGAATGTATGAACCTCCAAGAGGGAACCAAAAGAATCAACTTCCAAAGCACCACTGAAATGAAGATAAAAACAATCCCCTGGCACAGGGTAGCTGGGAAATTGGAAAGGAAAATTAGCTCCAGCACCCTTCCACACCCCAATACTCCCTACCTTTCCTCCAGTTTACACAGCTCCAATAACTATTCCCTTTCATAAGCCTAAGGTAAGAGCTCTCTCTCTGGATGCTGCCTAGATGGTAACTCTGCAAAACATCACATGTGCAAATTCTCTCCGGCTTCCCATTTCTGAACTACTTTTACACACTGTCTTCCAAACATACTGTGCTCTTCAATAAAAAAATGATCTGTAATATGGAAATGCTAAAAAAATTTTTAAGCACATTGCAAAACATTGGTGAATATCCAGCTATTAACAGTCCCAGTATTTGTATAAATACAAATGATAACCTTTAGAGCACACTCTGATTGGTTTGTCTTTAGAGGTACTCTCTAAGTGCACCAAAATAGACTGGAGTTCATATGGCATTGCGAAGGTACTATAATGTCTCAATTAAAAAGTCCCTTTAAAAAACATTCTCCCAATCCCTTGTGCTGACCCTCAAAATAACAACAACAAAAGGGGAAAAATCATTAAGAGTATTCTTGCTGAGAAACTGAAGCTCTTGGTTAGAACATTTAGATGAGATATTCCACCATTTCTGCATCAGGCTCTGGTCCCAGGATCTGAGCAGCAGCTTTTCTTTCCAGAGTACTGGAGTGGAAAACGGGACCATCTAAATAGAAATAAGGGATTAGAAAACACTTAGAGATAACATAAAAACACAAATTTCTAAAAATGTACAGCTTTTAAAGCCCCTATGAAGTCAATAACCAGTTGAGACTTGCTTGTCACCGGTCTTGTTCCTCTGAAAATTTATTTACTTCTGTTAGGAGAAAATTTATTTACTTCTACTGGGAGAAAGGCCTGGACTCATTTCAGTTCCCATCTTAGTGTCAGATAAGTTATTCACAGACTCTCTGCCCTCATCTCCTCTGATTAATCTTTTTTAGAACATGAAAAACCTCCCTACAAATGACCAACTGTGCCCAAAACAGCAGGTACAAAAAACAAGTCTGTAACTGAGGGCAGAATCAAAAGCTATCTATTATAGTAGAGCATTATTACCTGTCTTGTCTGGATTACAGGCCAAATTAGGTATAGACAAGCGCCGTGGTCCAGAAACAGTGACTGGAGTTGTAGGAGCCTCAGCCTGAGCCAAAGATGGAGTTGGAGCTGGAGTTGGAATAGCAGCTGCAACTGGAGATGGAGTCGGTATCTGAGTCAGAGCTGGAGCAGAAGCCTGAGCTGCTGCTGGAGCTGGAACCGGAGTTGGAGCCCGAGCTGGAACCGGAGCTGGAGTGGCTGGAGCAACCTGAACAGCAGCAGCAGCAGAAGCAGGAGCAACAATAGATGCAGAAACAGCAGAGGCAGCAGTTGGAATCTGAACAGCAGCAGCTGGAGGAACAGCAGCAGCATGAACAGCAGTAGCAGTTGCTGGAGATGGAGTAGCAATAGCAGCAACAGCCACTGGAGCAGCAGCTACCATGGTGGTGGTGTTGGTGGCAGCATTGGCAGTGATGGCGGCAGCAACTGTAGCAGGAATAGAGATTGGAGTAACAGCTGCAGTTTTGTTTGCTTCAGTTCCCCGTTCTGTTTGGGTGCTGCAGTCTCGGCTTCCCGTCTTAGAGTGAGCTGAGAGCAGGGGAGTCGAGGGCGGCACTGGTGAGGGTGTAGAAGAGACAGATTCTGCACGGTAGTCTCCACCCAGGAGAATGCCTACAAAGGAAAAAGGGAAAGAGGTTAGAAAACTATACTTTCTTCAAATGCAGATATCTCATTACCTCTTTTTTCTTTGTAGGAGGTTCAGGATAAATGTGAATTGGTCTAATTCTTTATTTGGTCCTCATTCAAACCCAGAAACCAGTTTGTCATGCACATCTCATCACATGTAAAAGTTTCTTTCAGACTTAGTAGATCCCTTCTGGTTCTCATTCTCCAAGCCCCAGCATATAGTATTAAACCTTAAGTGTCATGGGTATGTGTTTTGATATATTTGTCCAATGGTGATTGATTTCCACCAAGCTGTCAGAATGCTTCTACTTGTTTCCACCTATAAATGACATCATCCATATTAGACAGCTGGAAAGGATCGGTGGAAGAAGTCTGTATTCACATATGAATGTGATAATAATTGTGTAATCTAAGGTTCTAATCATAACCATGGTCCCCAAAGTGCCTACTCTAACTAAAGGGCACTGCAAGTGTCACAAAACCAAGGAAGTTATTAGAAGAAACAAAAACAGCTAAAATTAAAATATATACAGCTTGTTTCCTCAGGCTCTAACAAAGTGCCTTGCAGTATCACAAATAATTCTGGGGTTTTGATTAGAAGGGAAGGAATGGACAGGGAAGAAGTGAAAAAGTACATTCTATTCTCATCTCAGAACATTCTGGTAACAAAAACTTGTCACCCAGCTCCATTTAGCTTAACTAGAACTCTAAGTCCTTGAATTTTATGGGAGAAAAGAACATAGAAAAAGCTGGAATTAAAATTTAATGGCCCAAAGGCTATATGAGCTTTGAACAAAAGGTCCCACATGGTAAAGGTCAAATATGAGAATTTTTAGAAGAAACAAGTTATTTTCCTTCCCACCCAAATAGAACTCAGGATTCTTATTTCTAAGGACATGGCTTCAACCAATGTTTTCTCTGTGAGACCTTACAGTGTGAAAAAGCTCCTGATATGCAGCTAGCCTCTCAGGAGGACCCAACCTGTGAAATCTTCCTGTCTATAATTTGGACCATCACTCTTTTCTCTTGCTGTGTGAGCACATATCTAAATCAAGGCTCTCCTTAAACATGTTGCTTTAATCTTCCTTATTTATTGTCATTACCTAGGCTCCCTTTCCAGCTCTTATCATCCCTCTTCTCTTCCATGATGGGGGTGCCAGTCAGGGTGGAAGAGTGGGAGAGCAAACCCGATCCAGCATTGGAAATGGACATCAGAGACTTTGCTGGCCGCATGGATGACAGCTGCTCTGTCTTACTAGGCTCCTTCCGGGAACGCTGCTGGAGTACTTTGATCATGGCATCCTTCTCAATAATCTGGGCATGGAGGGTCTTAATCCTAGGAGCCAAAGACAAAGAACATATAAAGATCTTGTTGCCATCTTCATGTTCTACTCTCACAGCCTACATGGACTTGAACTTCCATGACCTTTTTGACTAAGTGGTGGTCTAGTTATTTCTGAGTTTTAAAACAAAGGACAGTGCTACATTTTAAAAATGCCTTTCTGTACCCCCAGATGGATAAAACAGAGAATGCAGGAGTTGTTGCTTAAATTTTAGGAAGCCAAAGTACAATATTGGAGGGTGGGGAGAGAAAGGCCATATATGAGAGTAAACCTATGTAATGGGTGTTATAGTGAAGAATTTGAGTCAACAGAAATGAAGTCAGTGAGAAGACGGGAACTTCTATACTAGTAAATGGGCCATACCTTCAAGTAATAAGTAAATGATTATGAGTTTATAAGAGACATCAGGTATAGAATGACTAGATATTCTTTTACTGAGCACTGTGCAGTATAATAGAGTTATGGTATAATGCTAGAAAGAATATCCCAGAGTGCAAATAGCAACAGTTCAGTTCTGGCAGAAGGCAGATGGAAAGCAATTACCAAGGCCAAAGGGGAAAGCAACATTACTTGGAATTCCATAGTGAGTGGGAATGATCAAGGTAAAGGTCATTGCATCTCATATCCTAAGTAATAGGTTGGCAGGAGTTTAGGGGTGGGGAAAACTACATTATTGGGTTTCTCAATTGTGAACGAAGATGCTCACCCTTCCCTACTGACCTATTTGGTCTCCATACCAACCCGAGGTCCATATCAACATTTTACCTGCCCTCCATATCAAGGCAACGCTTGTTGGCCATCAAGATTTCTTCCTCCTCCTTCTGGATGCGAGCTTCAAGAGCTGTGTCATAGCTAGTGTTAGGAGAGTGGCTGATGACTGTTGTATCCCTGGGAAGGAAATGGCAGTATGATCATGAGAAGACAGCAAAATCAAATCCTATCCCCTTCCTCAGTAGAAGTTATTCCTGGGAAAGCCCTAAACTGAAATTAAACTTATTAGGCCAGATTAGTTTCTGGGTGACTAACCTTTAAGGGCTTTCAAAGATAAGAAACTCCAACTTTCAGAGCTAGAAGAGGTGAATGGCCTAGAAGTAACTGCAAAAGTCAATGAGAGATTCTATGAGAGGTGTGCACGGGTTTGTCTTCCAAACTAAGCGAATATCCTTCCAAAACATTCTGACTTTCACATTTTGACTAGGCAATAGGAGGATAGTTTTATTTCTACTTTAATTATTTATATTACATATAAGATATTTTATATTTACATTTTATTCTCATGACAGTCATAAAATGAAAAAAAGCTATCTTTTTAATGTGACAGATGAACAGCATTAACTACACCTGAGTGCTAGAAACAAACTATAGACATGTCAACAGATAGGGCATGTGAGCTGAGTGAGAAGCAGGGTCTTTGTGTCAGTGTCACATGAGTCCTATCTAACCTGCATCTGAAAGGTTCTGGTTCCAAACCATTGAGTCTCCCCCAATTAAGTGACTGTTCTCTTGCCAAAATCTCAACTGCATGAGGGACCATCATGTTCCATCTGAAAGTGCCTCAGGCCATTGACTCAAAGACTAATTAATGAGAGAGAGAGAGAGAGAGAGAGAGAGAGAAAGAGAGGGGAGAAACAGAAAAGGAAGAGGGTCTAGCCATGGGCAATGCTGATGTCTAATTAGCACAAGTCAAAAACAAGGGAATCTGTTGATAAGTGAAGTCATTGCATCTTTCTTTGGTTCATTTACAACTAGTAGTAGAGAAGAAGGGAAATGGAACAAAGAAAACTGGATCTTTTTTTAGTAATGTGGAGGGAAAGAAAAAAGATTAAGAAGAATATTAATGTAATTATATTGCTCTTAAAGAAAATCAGACAATAGGCTGAGAAAACAATGAACTGGCACTGCTTCATTATATTTCCTATGAGAACATGGATCTGTGGGAGAACTTCAGACATATTTTCTGCTGCCAGCTAGCTCTGGCTCTCTTCTCTTAGCTTAGAGATTGTGACCAGTGCAGATGGGAGCAAAGGGGCAATGGAATGAAGAGGCAGAAAGTTAGTATTAAATTTGGGAAATTTTGGTGTGCTTTTGCAAAAATATTGTCCTGCAAAACACTTGCACCTTATATACAGGGCTGAAACGATTTCTTTGAATAGGGAAATAATTGGAGAGCAAAGAAATAATGTATTACAATGGCTCTCATTTGCTAAATTCAAAATATTTTAGCATCTCAGAATTCTACACTTGCTCTAGTGCAGTGCTTAAAAGTCCTACTTGAAATGACTCCTGTGTTCCAAAGTACCCAAGAAGAAATGGCACTGTATAGTGTTGAGAGCACGGGCTCTGAATATAGACCACATCAGGGTCAAACCTCAGCCTTCCCAAGTTCACTGCCACTAACAAACTCTCTGAGCTCAAGAAGTCAGTTAACTGCTATAGATCTCAGTTTCTTAATATGCAAAATGGAAATAATAATTGTACCAATATCTCATGGGATCTTTAGGGGATAAAATTGAAGTATGCATGTAAAATACATAGTGCCAGACACAGTAAAATACTCAACAAAGTTATCTATTATTAGGAGAGAAAAGTATATGTAGAAGGGAATAACATAAAAGAGATTATAACTAAAAAGAATTCCAGCTCTTGGTATAATCCTGGAGGCATTTCCTGCAGTACAGAGTTCCAGTGTGATGGCTGAGGCTTCAGAGCCAGACCTCTCTACAAAGTGCATGGTATCTATGGACACTGGAAACTTGAGCATATTGGTTTGTCACTGGGGGAGCCAGTGCTGGCTTACTGCCACATGCATTGCATAAAAGACCATTTGGGGGACTCAGTGCCCTGCCAGCTAATTGATATGGAAACTGTGAGATCCTCAGGAATGGAGCCTGGAAATGTGGGGCACTTAGTGAATTCCTACAAAGCTGCCAGGACGGCCTTCAATATCAATGTTCTTTCTAGAAGATGGGCTACTAAGCCAATAGTTTAGGCAAAAGCAAGCAAGCACAGTGTTTGAAGGAGCGTCTTGACCTGCTAAATTTCAATACTGTGAAATGATTCTTAAGCACATTCATAGGGAGATGGTGAGCTTGAAAACACAACCTGCAAATCCCAAATCCTAAGTCCATGAATTTGCCATGCCCCATCTCCAATTCTTAAGTAAAACAGTTTCTGGCAACTGTCTCTCTAGCCATCTTCTCTCTCCTTCCTTTCTCAAACAAAGTTATCCCCATCACATTACTTACATTGTCTTCTAGAATACCATCCATGACCTCCAAATTAAAACATCAAGGGGCCTTTTAAACTTCAAGTCTATCTTTTCATATAGGTAGCATCCTTTTGTTTATTAATTATGTAAACTCAGACATGAGTCCAGCACTGAGTCTGAAGTTACTATGAGGCTGGAGAGTAGCTAGATATCAGTAAGACTTGTTCCTGACTGCAGGAAACTTGTAAGGGGAAACAAAAAAGTTAATAATTAATGATTACAGAACTGAGTTTGGACTTTACTCCAATAGGCACTGAAAATAATTAGAGATTTTTGAGAGGATTGGACGATAGTGTTATCTCTTACTGAAATGTGATGGAGGGATTAAAGGAGCAATAATACTGGACACAGGCAGACCAGTCAGAAAGTTATATTGAAATAATCTCAGCAAGATAGAATTAAAACAGGAACTATTAAAATATTAAGGGAAATGGAAATAGAAGGCAGAATTGCTAGAACTTGGAGAGTGCTTAAATTTGTGTGTTAAGGTGAGGAAAGAATGAATGAGAACTTTGTTGTTTCTAATTCAAATTACTAGAAGAGATGACATACCACTCATTTTCTTAGACAGGAAAATGGAGGAGATATTTTTTCCCAAAAAAATCACACACAATATAATGGGTTTTTATTTTAATGTGTTTTACAAAAAGCCATATAACAATATCCAAAAAGCCATATAACAATATCCAAAAAGTTGTTGAAATTTCTAACTTTAATTTTAGAGATGTCAGAGTTACTACTTGAAGCTATAACACAGAACAAAATAACTAAGACAATGTAGAATGGGAAGAAAGCTAAGGATGGAAATTGAGAAAGGCCTAAGATGAAGGAAAAGGTAGATACATGTAATGTGTGTGACCAGCTTCTATCTCCTGATTCTCTTTCTTCCTTCTTTCCCAGATTTACTTTGCCCCCAAATAAGAATGAAACTTGCACATTCTGAGAGGTTGATCAGGTGTTTTTTTTTTTTTATCCTTTTGCTGCTCTTCACCAACTGCACTGCCAACTGGTTTCTTCTGGGATTGAATTCCTATGTGGTAATAGTTTTCCTCATCTATTCTAAGCATCTAGAGAGGAAACAATCTCTAGGGACACAATAATATCAAATTATAAAATAATGTGATTATTTATAATACTTTTTAATCCTCTCCTGATAATGTGTTTTTATTGATTTTTTTAGAGAAAGGGGAAGGGAGAGGGAGAGAGAAACACTGATCAATTGCCCTGTATGCACCCTAACCAGGGATCAAACCCACAACCCAGGTGTGTGCCCTGACCAGAAACTGAACCAGCGACCCTTCATGACACTCAACCAACTGAACCACACCAACCAGGGTTATTTATAATATTTCTAAGTGAGCAAATAATAAACCTCAGAAACTGGTAGTAACTCTTAAACAGGTAATAATCCCTATTTCATCATCTTTGAAATCATGATATCTGGGAGGTAGCAGAGTATAGTGGCTAGGTGCCAAAAGTGTAGATTTAAATCCTGATTCTTCTGCCTCAGAGTAGTTGTGTGTGATCTTGGGTTAACTATTTATATGGTGCCTCAGTTTCCTTATCTGTATAATGGATAATAGTACTTATCTGAAAGAATTAAAATGAGGATGAGCAATAATTTTAAACTGCTTAGAAGAATATCTTATACAGTAAATACTCAATGTGATTTCTTGCACTGACATCTTTCACTTTGACAAGAAGTGTTTAGGAGAATCACTTTGCTGGAAGGAGTATAAGTAGAGGCAAATAGTTTGCCCAAGATCACAGACAGCTACTAATAGGTAGAAGAATCAGGATTTAATCTACATTTTTGACACCATAATCTCTATTCTGCTGCCTCCGAGATATCATGATTTCAAAGATGATGAAATAGGTACTATTACTTATTAAATATATGTTTTAACCTGAGGAGAGATAGTTGTCTAGTTTTATGTTAAAATATGTATTTTATTTTTCATTAAGGCTAAACATTGGAAATAATCTAAATATCCATTGTCAAGTGAATGGTAAATCCATATCATAGAACACTACTCAGCAATAAAAAGGAATAAACCATTGATACAAGCATCAACTTGGATGAGTCTCAAAATAATTATGCTGAGAGAAAGAAGTCAAGCAAAGCATACATACTCTGTGACTCCTTTTATATGACATTCTAGAAAAGGTAAAATTATAATGACAAAAAGTAGATTACTTGTGGGGGGGCAGGCATGGAAGGAAGAAATCAAGTTAAAGGGGCACAAAGACACTTTAGTATGCATCCACTATCATGATTACGTAATTGTATACAATTACTAACATTCATCAAAACATACACTTAAAATAGGTGATTTTGAATATGTAAAATAAACCTTAATTGAAAAAAACTACAACTATCATTAATACCATCCAAACAACATGTCCTAAATGTGCAACCTGCTATTTACCTATAAGCTGTTATGATGGGAATATATTAAGTTTGAGATAATAGCAGAATACAAAGAAACCAAGCAGGCCATTAAAATGGGACACTAGATTTCAGCATTTTAATTATAGAATTAGAAATCACCTTATTTCTTTCATTTTTCTTTTCTCCTTCCTTTATTCGTTTTTACTTCCATCCTTACTCAAATATATGTTGGGCAATTTCCATCTGCACTCAATATCTTGGGCACTTAAAATTATTTTAGAAGAAAATAGAATAGTGCACAAAGCTTTTATCGATACTATGAAAAGAGTTAAGGAGCAGACCTTGGTCAATACCAAACTTTCTACACCTGGTGATTTAAAGGAATTCTATTTAAATTAAATCTACCTTGTGGAGCCAAGAGATTCTGGAAAGAGATCCATTTGAAAGGTGTTTCCCCCAATACTCAAAATTTCACAGGAAAAAAAGGAAAGGGGGTCACTTCTTCATACCAGCCTCATGACAACTTCCTCACTTTCCTGCATCTTGACCTGGAGTCTTATTCTTGAAGTCAGTTTCAGCAATGAACCTCCCAGTACTAAGAACCCTGGCTTTCTAACATTTATTCACACTGCATACTTCATGAGCTATATCTTTCTAAGTTTATACACAAAGACAACAAAATTACCTTGCATCTACTTTTCAGTGTTAAGAGTTTCCTGAATAAATTCTGAACAAGCGCTGGGCACAGGTGTTTTCTTGGGAGTGAGGAGATAAAATTAGAATTAATTCTGCTTCTAATCTACCTACAAACTTCTCGGCCATCTGAGTAGCACAGCTGGAGTGTCTGTGCACTCTATCACTATACCGACATGTACTGAGCACACTTCTCAGAAAACAAAAACAAGTAAGCTTAAGACCATGAGGAATTCAAAGTCAAGAAACAGGTGATTCTAATCTCTTTAAGGTTCATAGAGGACACCAGGAAGCAGGCAGATAAACATAAGATGTCTTCCTGGAGAATTGGAAATAAGTTTAGAAACCACCAGTCCAGCTCTTAAGCACCGGCCTCCCTCTGATTCAGCAGGAGAAAGACTCAAAACTAAATGTATCAACTGCCTCCTCCACACAAAGACACCAGCTACAAGTGTGGCAAGTGCTTTCAGACTCTTCCAGCTCACCATGTTTAGGAGAATCTTAAAAATAACACTGCAGTTCTTAATAACTTTCTGGATAGAGACTGCGAGGGGTGTAATATGCTATATAGCCCACCTTGAATATCCAGTTCCAGATCAAGGCTCTGCCTGTAGATCCACAACTCATATCATCCCATTATTTGAATTTAGTTTTTCTGTGTGTGTGTGTTTGAAATACGTTTTTATTGATTTTTTAGGGAGACAGGGAGGGAGAAGGATAGAGAGATAGGAACATTAATGAGAGAGAAACATCATTGATTGGCTGCTTTCTGCATGCCCCCTACTGGGGATTGAGCCCAAAACCTGGGCATGTGCTCTGACCAGGAATCAAACCAGTGGCTTTTTGGTTCATAGGTCAATCCTCAACCATTGAACCACACCGGCAGAGCACGAATTTAGTTTTGTCATTGTTTCATTCTTTCCCAAATGATGAGTATGACTAGCACGGAGCCAAACAAACTTGATAAGAACAGTTTCCTCCAAAGATCAAAAATTACTATTTGTAAAGTGAAAAGGGGAACAAATAAGCTGAAATATTTTTTAAATCCTCCAGCCATTTTTCCCTTATCAAATAGAATGTGACTGCTTACATGTGATAGACTCATGGACACAGAGAATGTGTCCCTCAAGTATAGACTTTCTCAAAGGGCAGGATGGATTCATGTTAAGCATAGCCTTTGGCATACCTTGGACAAGCCAGAGGTATCAAATGGCAGCAGCCACTCCTGAGTGACATTTAGTTTTGGAGTACATTTCACTGGAGAGTCTTTCACTCCAGTTCAGGGGCTAAACAAAGAAACCTACACATTTGGCTGAAAGACACTGTGGCTTTGGCTATGTAGATGTGCAAATGGTTCATTTGATTCCATCTGTGATTGTTCTGGTTTCTGAGGAAAGCTGAACTATGATTCCAATAAGTTTATAAGTAACTTTCATTTTCAAATTGCTGACCCTCTGCCCCCACAGTCATTCAGTCTCTGCATAACCAAATGAAAGAAAGCACACTTAAGTAGAAGGTAGGAGGGGTGGAGAAGATTAGAGAAGAAAAAAGAACACACTGAAAAATCTATTAATTAGTCACCTTTTTGTTCTTCTCCAACCCCCAGCCCCATGCCCTTCAAGGAGTGACTGTACCAGCCAAGCAGTTACCTCTGAGCAGCTACAGTTGCAGCAGCATCCAGAGCAAAATGTCTCATCACATTCTCCTCTAAGTACTTTTGTTCCCACTTAGTCATATCAGCTTCCAGGGCCAGGATCCTTTCCTCCTTTTCACGAAGTAGCTCCATCAGTGCAGCAGCATTGTATTCCGAAACATTGGTGGGCTGAGAGTTGCCCTGGCGCTGTTGGGAGAGATGCCAACACCCCTCAGATTAGTAGGAAAAGAAGTGTGGTGGCCAAGTCCCATTTTGAAGAGTCTCTATATTTGGAAAGAATTACTGCCCCAGCCACTTCAGTTTGGATTCTGATTCTGAAGCAAAAGGGAATTCAGATTTTCTCCTAAGACCACAGTATTGTCTATTTCGGGCTTGAATCTGAGACTCCCTTGATCAAGAAAGGAGCATGCCATATCAAATTGTCATGCTGCCCAGAAAGTGGATAAATGTTTTACAAAGCACCATGTTTGCCTGCCTGCATGGTACATGATTAACATTGGAATTACAAATCTAGACTTTGGTTTTTACCTTGCCTCTAACTTGTTGTTTGGCTTTCAATGAGTCATACAACTTTTTCTAGGTCTTGATTTACTTTCATGTAAAAATGAGGGGTATGGTTAGATTATTCTAAGGACCATTTCCAATTCGAAAATGATTAGGAATATACTTTTATAGCATCTTTACTTCATGTTGGATCTACTGTTTCTGGGGTTCATGTGAAAAATAAAAGGTGCAAGATAATAGGCATTAAGGATTTTGCTGTGATAGAAAAGCTAACTAAGCAAGCTTCACCTTTACAATTAACAGGTACTCTGGACTTAGATAGGGTGAAGCAAAAATTCTAAAGATGAGCATTAGTGTGTTTTTGTCTTCATATCAAACACCAATGGAAAAATAAGCATTCAGGAATACTTCTTTTCTTTAAGTTCCCCAAACCTGCTGAATTCTGAGGGATTCCAGTTCTCTCTCCAGCCGTGTCCGGAGACGGTGTTCCAGCTGCTCACGCTTTTCACATGCTGCCTGGAGCTGTACAAGGGCCTGCTGCATCTTCTCCACCTTATCTACGTACACCTGCTTCTTTTTAAGCTGAAAATCAGGTTGAGACAGGATGAAGGGAAGATAACAAGATCAGTTATGCACTCCACCATAGCCCATGACTGTTTAGCTCTCTTCTTGTCCAACTTTAAAAATGAGTGCATTGTGAGAAGATTCTTAGTGATAAATAGCAGGCTGCCTGGCGTTTATCATACAGAGAATGCAACAAGTGACAGGAATTAGGAGATCCTTTGTAATCTCATTCTCCTTCCCTATCTCTAGGTTTTCCCCAAATCTATTTCCATGAGTAAAATCAGACAGACGCTACGATGGAAGTAGCTCTTAAAATGTTTGGATGTCCTCACCTCTGCTCTTCTTCACTCTAATCTGTAATATACTGGGGGAAGGTATAGCTTCCTTTGGTCAATACAATAGAGAAATGCTAAAAAAAAAAAAAAAAAAAAAGGGGGGGGGGGTGCTCTCCAGGAGGAAAAATCCTTAATTTGGCATGGAAAGGAAGCTCATCTCTCCCCTTTATGCAACTGTCTCCCTTTATTCAGGTCAATTGCTGAAGGTACAAGGAGTTTGCAATTGTCTTTTTGAAGCCTGCAGTCCTGGTAATTACCTTTTATTAAAGGAACAGAGAGTATGTGCAATTGATGCCTCATTCATGAGCCTGAATTGATAATATTGAACTATAATCTCTCAGCTTTTGGAGGGAGATCTTTAAAGAACCCTAAAGACTCAAACTAATGAATCAAATATAAAACTAAATAAGTCAAATGCCTCTTCTTCCCTGAAAGCCTATGAGCCATATCCCAAAGCAAAGGTAGTAGGCTGAGACTAACAAATTTAAATTCTTGTACCTTTGCAACTTACAAGCTCAGTCCTGGCTCCATGGGAATGAGGGAATGAGAAAATACTCTCTTTAAAGAAGGTATACATACAACTAAGAAAACAGGGAAAGTACATCCTTCCAAATTTGTTAGTGAGCAGATTATGCTTTTCATACTACTTGTAAAATGCATTTCTTGCTAATAAAATCAACCCATGAACTCTTTATAAAGCAAAAATGTTTCCAAATTGTCATCATCATTTTCATGGAGGATAAGCTTAGATCATAATTATTATTATGATTTAAATCTGATAATAACTTGGTCAAAAGGAAAATCGAGAATTCAGCTTAACTCTAACTTTTCAACCAATACCTAAGTCCTTGAGCTACATAGGCAGATAGTTTCAATGTAAGAAGTTACCCATTCTATTGGCATTGCCCATACCCACTTAGCAGGTGCCAAGCAAGGATAACCTGATTACCCCATTTAGAAACTAGATAACTCCTTAATAGTAATGAGTCAAAATCACAGTCAGATGCCAAAGGTTTGTGCTAGTGGGGAAACTCTTCTGTCTTTTAATAGCCTTTTCCACAAATTGGAATTGAACTTTCTCCAGGTAGGAAAAAAAACAAAATGTTATACTAGTATTTTCCTACCAGACCTGTAGTATGTTTTGCCTCGGTGAATGAAAAAAGAAGACTTAATTTTTTTTCTATACGTTCTTGACATTTCCTTTTATTCCAAGTCTTAGTTCAATCTAACCTTATAGACCAGATGTCACAAGCTATAAATATACATGTGTATATCCATTAGACCTTTACCTAAGAAATAAAAGAAACAAAAGTCATCATTCTCTTTGCCTCAATAAGCATAAACCTTCCTTTCCTTGGATACATGACTATTAATAACAACACTGGCTAGATTAGGCAATGAAGACCTTTAGGCCATAGGTGCCTCTGCCTTTCTATTTGCTAAACTTTGAATAATTGGGAAGCAGAAAATATCCTTTATCCTTCACCTTTTGGGTTCTATAATCCTCATGAGTTATTTAAAGTTGAATGTATTTATTTGTGAACTGCTCTGAAAACCTTAGGGGAGCAATGTAATGTTAATGCAGAGAATGTTAACTATAATTACTGAGGTTTACAGCAGTTATACTTAAAGGCAATTAAAGTTAGATAGCATGCAGTTCTTGTATTAATGGTAAAGTATAGCAATGTAAACTCAGACAACTGAAAAATAAGTAGTCCATGGACAGGTGAATTTCTCCATGCTCTGTCTTCTTGAGAAAGAAAACCTCAATCTTTTACCAAAGGGATTCCCAGCAATTTCTATTGCTGAGCCACCCCTCTGAAATGGAAAAACAATAAAAAAGCAGAGAGTTTTCTTGGTTGGCTGAAGATAGACATGCAGATCAGATAACTTCCACAAAGCAGGCCAAGAAAAATCCCATTATGTTTTCTTTGTTATTGGGATGATTTCCCACAAGGTACAAGGACCTGTTGCTGGAATAACTCTACCTTTAAAAAACAAAACAAAACAAAACAAAAAAAAAAAACAACTCCACAAAACAATGCAGCTCACCCATAAGCATATGATCACCTAGTAAATGCTTAATCTCTAAATAAATAAGGATAGGAAAGACAACTTTTGGATGCTACTAATGCAAGACCCTATAAATACAAACAACAAGGTTAACTATCTTCTAAGTTACATACTCTGTTTTCTAGATATCTTCAGTAAGTAGAAAGAAATAAAGGCCTACTGGTTTATTAAACCCTCCATTATCCCAGATGTTATAAACTTCACTTTTACATTCATCATGATAAACCCCCTCTTCTGCCTCTCTTCTACAAACTCATCTCCTGTGCTAGGCTTCTGAAATGTTACATCAGTATCTAGGACATCATGGGCCCTTGATTACACCTTCCAATGCCATCAGAGGTGTCAGTGGTTCCTTCTTAGATAAAGAGAGAGGCCATATAGTAAAAGGGAAAGGTCTGGCTCTGGCCTCAGACTGCCCAAGTCCAAATCTTGGGCTATCTCACTCACTAGGCATACAACCTTAGGCAAGCTATTTAAACTCCCCTAGCTTCCATTTTACTCATTCATCAATAATACAGAGACGATAATACCATACACCTTTATAAAGGTCAAAGGAGTTAAAATATGAAGTGTTTAGTGGAGTGCCTGGCACAAAAATACTCAGAGAGTTTTCTTTTTTAAGAAAAGTTATTGCCAAGCCATGTATGCTTTAGTTCTTTCAACTTTGAACATTCAGTCCAGATAGCCTTGATATAATTCTCATTATCTCAATAGCTCTAATTATCACATCAATATCTAATTAATACATTAAAAATACAGCAATTTTGCCTAGAAGGACATATAAAATCAGGCTTCAAATACTACATGAAATACAGCTTCAGATATCCTTACAGAGCCGGGACCTCCATTGGTGATACAATTAAAACCAAGCAATGAGTAGCTGCCAGGGTACCACATTCTCTCAAAATGATATGATTTAGGAGCACCTCCACTTTATGAAAAATATTTTACCTATGGTTGAAGGTATTGTTTAACTAAAGACCTTTATGATGCACAGCACATACCACCATACACACACACACACACACACACACACACACACACACACAGATAAATATATATCAGAAACTTTTTTTTGACAGCAAAATGAAAGAAACAAGGTAGTAATCAGGAGACTTATACTAGTCCTGGCTCTGCTCTTATTGTAATTTGCTTACCTATCTTCAGCCTCAGAGTCCCTATTTATATTTTTAAAAATGATGGGTGTTTTAGAAGTCAGCAAACTGAAATGGTCAGCAGTGGGCCAAATCCAGCCAAATGCCCATTCACTTATGTATTAGCTATAGCTGACTTCCTGCAATAATAGCAGAATTGACCAGGTGTAATTGCAAAAGAAACTGTATGGTCAATAGTAGTGAAAATACTTATTCTCTTGTCCTTTACAGATATAGTGCCAGCCCCTGGAGTGATTTTCAAACAGTGTTTTAGAGGCCTAGTGTATTGTTGAGTGTTTCAGAGGCCACTAATGTGTGAGCTGTATCAAATGGTTCCTCTTATATGTTTTTTTATTTTATTTTATTTTATTTTATTGATTTTTTACAGAGAGGAAGGGAGAGGAGAGAGATAGAAAGCTAGAAACATAGATGAGAGAGAAATATTGACCAGCTGCCTCCTGCACACCCCACACCAGGGATGTGCCTGCAACCAATGTACATGCCCTTGATCAGAATCAAACCTGGGACCTTTCAGTCCACAGACCGACGCTCTATCCACTGAGCCAAGCCGATTTTGGCTGATATATTTTATATATTAGCATTATACATAAAACTTCATCTCAAAAAAAGATTGCTGCCCTTGCCAATGTTTCTCAGTAGTTAGAGTGTCGGCCTGTGCACCAAAGAGTCACCATGGGTTAAATTCCCAGTCAAGGGCAGGTACCTGGATTGCAGGTTTTATCACCACCCTGATTGGGACATGTGCAAGATGCAACCAATTGATGTATTGATGTGTATCTCTCTCTCTCTCTCTCCCTCCCTCTCCCTCTCCCTCCCTCTCTCTCCCTCCCTCTCCCTTTCTCCCTCCCTCTCCTTCTCTCTCTCCCTCTCCCTCCCCCTCTCTCCCTCTCTCTCCCTCCCCCTCCCCCTCTCTCCCTCTCTCTCCCTCTCTTCCTCTCTCTCCCTCTCTTTCTCTCTCTCTCTCTCTCCTTCTCTCCCTCCCTCACCTTTACTCCCTCTCTCTCTTGGACTCTTTCTAAAAATCAATGAGAAAAAAATCCCCAGGTGAGGATTAACAAACAAACAAACAAACAAACAAACATTCCTGAGGATCCCATGGCATTACTCCCCTCAGTGCCATTAGATATATCATTTTATCTCTTAAGAACACCTTGTGCACTGGGTCTTATGAGGTTAAAACAATATTAAGCTAGACAGATGCTCTCAGATGTTCTCTAATAGTCTTTTGATTCACAAATATTTTAATCTAAGCTTCCCCTTTTCGCCTTCAACACTGACAAATAAGTAAGAAGGTTATTGCAAAACAAAAATCCTAGAAATCCTTACAGGAACACTCTTGGAGATAAAAACAAAAGTCCTGCCTTAGTTTATATGCACGTACATGCATGCCAGAGACAGAATATAAATGTGTATAGTCACCATAGGATCATAGATA